AGATGAACAATAATTAAGCAACTTGTCTATTGTCCTCTGACACCGCCCTAACCTTGGATAGCATATCAAGATAGCATTAAAGGAGCCAAGTCTAACAATATATTCTCATATAAAAGTAATTCTGATTAGATAATTCTCACTTGGAGAGGCTATTTTCAAACATGCTATCCATAAAAGATTCTCAAATTCACAGACACGACAGAAGAAAGTCACCAGGAATATTTCGTCTGAATACATACAGGCCACAATTTTACCCCCAAACTGGATTAAGGCATGCTTTTTCAAGAGAGAGAAACTTTAAAATTAAAATTGGCTAAGTAATGGTGAGTCCATCACCTCCCCTGGTAAGTTGTTCCAACACATGAAATAAGAAATGATTCTCAACTGTAAGGGTAGTTAAGGCTGATTTTGTTTAACTTTTGGACACTAGATCTTTTTATGCCTCATCTGCAAGACTGAAATTGTCTTTATTGCTTTTAGGTAAGTAAACAATTATGCTGTGATCACTTTTAAGCACCTCTTATGGACCTTTTCTTCAGCAAGTTGAACAAACTGAGGCTTGTTTTCCTAGCATGCCTCATTTTTGTGGCCTTCCTTTGAAACAGCTTTAGTAATTCCACACCTTCTCATGTGGACCAGAACTTAACAATCTTCAAAGTGCAATCTTACCAATGATATGCAGAGAGGCAAAATTGCTTCCCTATTTCTTCCTGATAGTCTCCTTTTTATAAATCAAAAGATGATATTAGCTCTTTTCATCAAAGCATTTAACCAAGAGCTGCCATTAACTACAATGATGCACGAGTCCTTCCTGGATCTGCTGATTTCTAAAACATCCTGTAGGTGTAACCTGCTTTCTGAGGGTGTGTGTAGACGAAACAGGGGCCCTAAATTGAAGCAGTGAGTTTTAAAAAACACTGCTTCAATTTAGGCTTGATAAAACCCCCGTGTCATGCACACATCCTGCTGACTTCCCTGCCTCTGCGGCAGGGAGAGGAGAGCAAGCTGCCGGCAGGCAGGGGAGTCCCTGGGCTGTGGAGGGTGGGCAGGGGATGCTTCCCTCGGTGGCACTGGAGGCTCCCCGCAAGGTGGCACCCAGCTTAGGTGATCCCAGGGGTCACCACAGCCACAGAGGGAAGCACCAGGCCCCCGTGCAGCTCAGGCAAGCAGGCTCCAGGGGGTGGGGAGTGAGAGCTATCAGGCTCGCTGCTTTTCCCAGGCTGCCTGCAGGGGCTTCCTGCAGAGCTGTGGAGCTGCACAGAGCCTGGTGCTTCGCTCCATGGCTGTAGGGGCAGCTTGCAGGAGTTTTAGTTTGCTGCACCCCAAGTCGTTTAAGGTGCATTACACCGCCAAATTTCCTACAGCAGCTGGAATTAATGTGCAATACATTGCTGAGGCATGCAAACACCAAGACCATTAAAGCAGTGTAAAAGCACTTAGCCCACTTTAAAGTGTTGTGCACACATGCCTCTCGTTCCGTTTACACACGGCCCGAGTTCCTAGATGTAATACCTGGCATTTGGCTGCATTAACACATTTTGTTGTAACCCATATAACCATGTAACCAGGGAGTTTCAGAACACCCTGGTATCAGTAACCCATTTTCGTTATTTACTATGTACCAATCTTTGGATCATTTGCAAATTTTACTAGTAAAACACTGTAAGTTATCATCTAAATAAGTGACTCTCAACCAGGGTGATGTAGTCACATTGTGTGAGATGCCACACAATGTTAGCATTGTTAGGTGTGTAAACATGATAAACAAGATAAACCCAAAGATTTCACACACGAATTCATAACGTTAAAATAATTCTGACCTGTTGTGGTCCGAGTTCTTTCCAACAGAAAACTTGTTCTATTATTTTTCTGTAGGCAAGGAATGAGTGAAAATTAAGAGCTGGCATTTTCGAAGTGGTAACTTAGGTCTAACGAGCTGCACAGAGGGGGTAACCTGAGTCTAAAAGGTTGAGAACTACTGATCTAGATCACCAATATGTATATTAAGCAGCACGGATTTCAGAACCAAACCCTGGGTGATCCTGTTAATAATATTCCACACTCACTGATGTCTCTCCTTAAGTAATCAAGCAGAACTAATGACAAGACACTGAGTCTTGCATTCACCTTCCATATAGATCAGATCTATTTCATATATCTCCGAAGAGTAGCATTTATAAGCCGTTTTGTCATGGACTATTCAACACATTACCTTCTGACACACATCACCAGTTGTTAGGACTTTTTTTACCTACACGTTCCTTGCACTTTTATCAATATGGGGACATGCAAGGATGATGCATAAATAAATAAATAAATAAATAAGTTATTCAAGTTTTACTATAAGGGGCATGCAGAAGAAATGTGTATAAATAAAAAAGACAGGCTGAGACTCAATTAGCCAAACATTTAATGCACTAACTTCAAGTAGCCCGAACAGCATCTACCTGTGTCTTTGTTGACTTGCAAGTACTGTTTATGAAGTCTGATGCTGATGAACATAAAAAAAAGTCAGGACAGCACAGCATTTGTGTTTATGTTTGTGTTACAAAGCCATTAGGAAGAATGCAGACAGCACAGTTCTGACACTGGTCATTTCCTGTTAGGCATATTGCTTACATCACTGGAGTAGTGACGGCCTGTGGATCTCAGCAGTATGCTTGAGGGAAAAAATATTTAGTGATATTTGACAACTCAAATGGGGATATACCATATTTACTCGAATATAAGATGGCCCTGATTATAAGATGACTCCCCCAATAATTAAATTCTATATATGGAAAATGTATAAGTTCTATATAATTTTCCAGGTATAGAATCTAATTGGAAGTTAGTCTTGAATTTGTCAACCTCACACTGCTACAGCAGGGAAAATATTGGCTGGGGAGTCGGTAACCCCCTTGCCCTGTCCCTCCATCTTCTTTTCCCTGCAACTCCTTCCCCCTCTCCTTCTTGTCAGACCCTACTCTCCACATGGAAGAAAGGAACAAATTTGAAATAACTGACCTTGAAATCACCATAGCTGTAATAATTTGCATATATTACCCATACACTTATTTAATCCAGAATTGATACACCTTACCTTTTTTTTAAACTGCTGCTAGTTTTAGCACAGGTACTCCATAAAACACACTTAAGTAGCATTTGGCACCTGCTTATATGGAGAACAAGCAATGCATGATACTATCCCAAAGCCAAAAGCTCATGATTCACCATATAGTCCATTGTGCTGGGCCTCATTAAAGTCTAAAACATGAACCAAGTGTTCTTGTCACAAGTCCTGGGATCCTCCAAAAATACATTTGCAGATAAGGCATATGGCAACCTGGTCCACCTTCACCTTGTGGAGAGTGGGGGCTACACTAATCATATAGGACAGGCTGAGAGAGGGACTAACAGAGGGATTCTGGCCGAACTGTTTGGGGCCCTGTTTGGTGACGTTTAAGGCCGGTGAAGAAACAAGAATCAATGGAAATGGAAAAGCCACAGCTCAGCTGTGGTGGGAGTGAAGGCAAAGTCAGAATGCATTCAATAAGGGCTCACCATGACTTGAAAAAGAGTTGGTGCTGAAGGGGACTGCACTCAATGGACACTACCATTTATCTTATTCAGATGGGTTGCACTAACCTTCTTCTGGTAGGTTCCCATCAGCATGTTTGCCCAATATGGGTCATGTACTTTATAATCATTTTTGGTGGTAGCTGTATTTAAATCAACAACTGCCTGGCTGGTTTCCATTACTGAGCACATACTGTGTTTAACAGCAGTTCAGAGATGGACAATGTATTTAATTAAGTTTTCTTGCATGCATATGTAAGACTAGGGGCTTTTTTTGTTGCAAATGCTGATGGGGTCAACAGACATTTACACAGCCTGGGACAGTGAACAATACTTTAACTGAAATTCTCATTTCCAGAAATGCTATCTCCCCCCCTTAATGCATCATAGAGAGAATGCAAACAAGTAAAAGCAACTTAGAATGTATATACCCCCTTGCAGAAATGGCTAAGAAATCCTCACCAAGCTTCTAAGATGAATATACCTCTCCAATTTCCATCTACAGAAAGCTGATGCACAGAGGGGCAAGTAACTTGTTTAAGGCCACTCGGTAAGTCAGCAGAGACAGGAGTTTGCATACTCAGGTCCCTAGCTGTCGCTGTGTAAAGTTCATCAGATAAATTACTCCATCTGACTAAACCAGTAAACAATAAAGCCCAACATAAAACATTAATTTCCTGAAACAATACAAGACACTTAAGCCTTGACACAAAAAAACAAAAACACACTAAACTAAATTGTTGAGCCACACATACAGTCAGACACATTGCTAATCTTATCCAGGACAAACTGTACATACTTCCAAGGATGGGTGGGGCTGATTAAAATCTTTATACAGAACTAACTACTTACTTCCTTTAGTACAAAAAAAAATTCTAAAAATATATGAATCAGAGGCAAGCCTGAACCAGGTCGTCTTCCCTTTTTACAAAGTGCTGAAATATTAGGGGTGCTGACAGATGTAAACCAAGCCCCACCCCTCAAAAGCCCAGCACTTTACTGGAAGAGGAAGTGCTTCAGTTTGACCCAGCTCTCCAGAGTTTGTCTAGAACAGGCACTAACACAAGTCTTTTTGGCGCTTTTATCTAAAGCTGATTCAAATCAGTTCTTAGATAAAAATGCCAAAAACCCTCCTGAAATGCCTGATCTATACAGATGTTGGGTGAGCCGAGTCAAACTAACACGGTGCCTCTTCTGGGCATGCACTGCACTCAGTCCAGGGGCACACTAAGCTGAATGCAAAGCACCATTTTTTTCTCCCTCAGTGGTCACAAAGCTAAGCTGTTGGCCAGGCTCCCCGCTTCATCAGAACTACCACCTAATTGGTAAAAAGGCAAAAGGCCACTGTGGGAAGCAGCAGCATACCAAGACGTAGTAGCTAACGGTCAGACATTTTTAGAAACTAGCAAATTTGCTCCCAAGTGCCAGGAAAACTATTCACATTGGAAAAGTGTTTTAGCATTGTGAACCTTGATACACAAAATTACTGGAAGGGAAAATGGTGAGAATGGTGACCTCTTTTTCAGTTCAGTGTTTCAAGTACTCATCTTGAATGTTAGAAATTCAGATGCCCTCTTCTGCCCAAGGACACTTGAACCCACATGCTAGGGAAGTGCCCTACTCAGTAGGTTAAAGGGCATTCTGGGAGAAGGGTTTGCAGCCTCTCTTGCTGACACTGTTCATCCCTGTATAAACAAACAGTAATTGGAAGAGGGACAAAGACCCTCCCAGCTCTCAAGGAAATAAGCCAAAAACTGTCTAGGGTCTTATTCTCTTTTGTGTGATTTTTTTTCATTATTTATAGAAAAAGAAACAGTTTAAAAGGTGGGACTGAGGGAGTCCCATCCCATTGTACCTATAACCCAGTGATTAAGACACTGCCCTGAGTCAATCCTTCCTTCTCAGTCCTTCCTGCTAGACCTGTTCTACTTTGAAACAGAAACAGGAGAGAGACAAACTCTTCAGCTTGGTGATTAAGACATTGGACTGGCAAGTAGAACACTTATTGGGTTCCAGTTTTTTCTCCATGTATTTGTACAAAGTGCAACAGTGTCAACAGCAGATATTGAGAAGCCCTGCCTTATTACACAGTATCCTATAGCCTTGCTGTTATGCTACTCCTTTAGGAGGTGGGTTCAAATCCCCTGTAAGTAGGAGGTGGGAATTTAACCCAGGTCTCCCCTATCCTATGTGAGTGCTAACTGCCAAGCTATTGGAAAGAAGAAAACTACCGCTATGAACACCAGCCTTTTATTTCCTTTGCTCTTATTACAAGAGTCAGGAACAAGAATTATTCTGTATTAAACAAAAACTTTTATTTTTGTTGTTTCCTTCACCCCTACTTTTGGCTACTGAACTGGAAAAAATGTTTGTAAGACCAGTAGCAACACCAATTACAATCACACTAAAGATGCAAGGAGCTTACGTGGGACAAGAGAAGGAAAGCCCTAAACAGCCTGCGTGAGGAAGGTAAGAGTAAAGTAGAAACATCCTGCATCTGGCCTAAAAGAACAGTAAATGGGACACTCGGGTGCAAGCTGCTGAGCCTCAGAAAAAAGCAATCCCAAAAGAAAAGTGGCACTAGGCCAGCATGAGGAAGGAAAAGCGTTAGCTGGGAGACTGAAGGAATCCATAGTGCTTAGGTGGATTAGAGAGACATCTGCACAGAGCAAGCCCCCTTGGGAAAAAGAGAGAGACAAACATATGCAAAGCATACTAATAGCGTAGGCATATGCAAAGCATACTAATAGCGTAGGCATTCCTGAGGTGTTCAGCTTGTTTTTTCCACGCAGGGGAGAGGGATCAGGAAAAGACATGAAAACATTTTTGTGTTATGGGTGGGGAAGGTTGCAAGGTCACACATTTAACTTCCCAAGAGCAAGCAGCTATTTGTAATATTTTCTTAAGACTGCATTAAAGAGCTGTATTCCTTGAGCCCAGCAACCTGGGTACATCTGCCTAGAAAGCCAGAATGCAGCAGAGTAGTGTGGGAGCTTGCCCGTCATGCACCATGAGCCCTTTCCTGGGCTGTTCATATGAACCTTTTTAGAGGCTGGTGCACAGTGGTTCAGAGGAGAAGGAAACCATATGGGCTGTGCAGAACAATGAATTCAAAGAGCAACATGTTAAGGACTTTAATAGTGTCTAGGCTAAATAAGCCTGAGAGAAACATAACATTGGTCAGACAGCAATCAGCCATTCACATAATTATTTTTTAAGTACAGTATTGCCTAGACACAGATCAGAGACCCACTATCCTAAATCCTGCACAGACTTGGTACAAAAGGGATTATACTCTTCCTTAAAAGGATGCAAGGTGTGTGAAATGCACAGAAGCGGAGGAGAGGGAAAACAGGAGAACAGTAATAATAGTACACGTGCAGACTACATCAGAACCCTGCAATGACATTTCTGTAGATTGATAGTCTTTAATAGGCTTTCACAGGTATAACCGATTACAGTTCAGTAAATAATCCCATGAATGATGCACAGGTTTGTTCTTTCCGTTGGATTGTTTCTGCAACATTAAAATGACCTCTTCATTCCCCTCAGCCCCTTCCCCCTCACACACACCACTTTAGTGAAGTATTATTCTTGTCCCTAATTGGTAGGTATAGGACTCTACATACACCAAAATCACCTCTAGACCTGTTAGGTAACATTGTACAAACTTGTTTTTTCCCTGCATTTTTATTTGCCAAAGCAGAAATGTGTGCTTAGAAGGTTTCACTAATCTTCCAAGTCCTCTGGGTTTTTTAAGATCTGAACTTTCAGCCTGATGTGAAAGGTTGAAACTAACCCTTAACAGGATATCAAGGCTAGGGACAGAAGTTGCATATAAACTGGTTCAAGTGATCAGAAACTGACTTAAACCTGTAACGGAACAGAAATTCAGTGTACATAAACCAGACTCAAAATGGCCGAAATTGGTTTATGATAAATCTGGTTGAACGTAGTACCAGACTTAACTGATTGAGGTCAAATTGTTTATGCAACTTCTGTCCCAGACCCCTTCCTGGTTCAAGTTAAATCACGGTCCCCTAGCATGTTTTTCAGGCTGAGGTTGGGCTGTGCTGTCTGCTGGAACGGAGCAGGGTTGGCCAGGCCGCTCTGCTCTCTAGCTGGAGCAGTGACAGCTGGGTGACAATGGGGTAGGTGTGCTGGGGACACAGCCCCTGCCAGACTCTTCCCCACTGGAGTGGAAGGGGCAGAGGTATGGGTTAGCAGGCTCAGGCAGAGGGGGATTAAACCTCCCTGCCTCCCCTCTCCCACCAGCTGGGACCCCAGCAGGGGTCTACCCGACATTTCCCCTCTGCTCCTGGCTCAGCACAACCAGGGACTCCCAGAGGCCCCCTCCTAGCTAGGGGGTGATCCTGCTGCACCTTCCCAGATGCTGGGGCCAGGGTTTTGCTTGGGCCAGTGCAGGAGCAAAGGCCAGATCCGTGGGAGAGGGAAGGGAGTGAAACACCCCCAAGCCCAGGTGGGGACATGCAGAGAGGGATCTGCCACTTACACACTGTATTTAACCTGGTTCCAATTTGTTCCAAGTTGTTTTTTATTCATATCAAATTCAGTAGCTGCTGTATTATAAGTAATCTAATTTTTATGCCCAGGGACTCTAATCTGATTCTGGCAAAGAACTTTTTTTTTTTTTTTTTTTTTTTTAAATAAGAGTATACCAATAAGAGTATTACCCTACAGATCGGTGGCCATCTGGGAAACAGTGATCACCTAATAATAGAATTCTTCATTAGACGTCGAGTGGGTAAGGTAACTAGTAGGGTGAAAGTGCTAGACTTTAGGAAAGCTGATTTCAATGAACTCAGGCGATTAGTCAAGGACACACTGCGGAGTAGGAGTTTTGAAGTGATGGGAGCCCAAGAAGGGTGGCTGTGCCTTAAGGAAATGATCCTTCGAGCACAAAGGGAGACGATCCCAATGCGAGGAAAAAGAGGGAAAGGGGCCAGGAGGCTTCCTTGGCTGACCAGAGAAATCCAGGGCAGCCTACAGGCCAAAAGGGGGGCACATAAAAAGTGGAAACTGGGAGAGATCACCAAAGAGGAGTATACCTCCTCTGCTCGTGCTTGTAGGGAGGCAGTTAGACGGGCCAAAGCTACCATGGAGCTGAGGATGGCATCCCAAGTAAAGGAT